TGGCAGAGGGGGTCAGAATTATTGCAAACAGCTGTATAATGCCCAAATGTTTAATTAGTTAATTACTAAATACAGATTTGAATGAATGGGAAGCATGATTATATCAAAATATCGAAAAAAAAATGAATGGGAATATTCATAAAGTACATGGTAAACTTTATTATGATTAAGTTCAATTCCAATAGTTTGCAATATCGTTTTTAAACTGTAACTCCGTTAAGCTAGTCTGGTTCACATGAGCCACGCTAATGCAAACGYATCTAAAAATGGGTAGCCCTTCACGGTTTTGCGAGATCTTATCCGAATGGTTTACTAGCTATTTGTGGATAAAAGAAAAGAATATAAAATAAGAATGAGGAAAACAAGGAGCATTGTTTTATTCCTSAAATCACAAGGAACCTTACAACCTTGTGAAGGATAGTGAAGGATAACACACCCATTCGCAACTAAAAGGGTCAGTTCACACGTTCAACATGAAAACCTATATACAGCAAAACGTTAATGCGTCTGTATTTCTTGCGCTGCTCATGATAACGCCAGGCTTTAGTTATAACTTTATRAGCAATTCCATGATTTTTGTATTTTTTATTCAACGTAAGGTMCTATTATCTATGGATTGATAAATGATGATATCTAATTGGTGCTGATGAAATWAATATTTACTTAGTTGGATAACCATACTTATGACAACGATACTTAACCATCTTGATGCTTTAAAATCATTTAAAAAACTCATTTAAAAAACTACTAGGCCAATAGAATGAGCCTAATTGGTCACATGCATGGACCTTTATATCTGATAAAACACTATGAAGAATACTAATAAGGTTGACCTTTATCAGATATAAAGGTCCATGACCCTAGCAAAGATCTCAGGTTTGAAACCTGATCATTGACCAATGCAGGATGTCAACTGATTTCAGTGAATAGCCAAGAGCGGTTCTATTTTACTTTATGCGTATTCAATGTGGGATGACAAGAGTGCTTTGTAAAGTGATTCGCGCATGATCAGTTTGCCCCATTTACCTCTGAAAATATTTGTACGGCTATTTCTCCAAGAATTTTAACGGATTTGAGTTTCAAATTAGTGTTGGAGTTTTTTAAGCCGTTTAAAACACTCGAGATTGCCTTCGGCTCGAATCTTTTTACCTGATAAAACACTCTCTCTCGTGTTTTAAACTATACGTAAAGTAACGAGAACAGTTCTGTTATTACATCTACAGGATGAGCCCACGGGGTCTGTTCCTCTAAATAACTGTTGGCTCTTGTACTAGTTTTTAGGGCCTAATTTTTTTCATGGGAAAAGGGATTTTTGATCTACATTGTTGACAATCTCACAAGCAAATGCGTCACCCTTCCTTTAAATTAATTTTGTTACTTKCAAACGTTTTCAAGGTCGAAAAAGTCTTATATAACGTTTTAATGGTCAAAAAAGGTTTAGATTGTCTTAAATTTTGATTTCCCTGCCAAAAATTCTTAGCAAGTTTGCTTCCCTGGAGAGTTCTTTGTTCGTGAATTTCTCGCCTGGCAACCAGTTGTGACTTACAGCTGGCATAAGAACAGAGATATTTCTCCCAGGAACCCGTCGGCTCATTAAAAAGTCTTTCGCGGTTTCTTTGTAAAGACGGTAAAACAAATTCTATTCAGGTTTCTCATACTCATTGATTATTCATGAGGTATCCAGCCAATCCCTGATTGTAATATGTACCACGTGAAGTAACTTGAAACCAGAGGAAGTACTCGTAACTTTGTATTCTACCTCATTTCTACTTTTTCAAGTTACTTCTACATTATTTCGAGCTATTTCTACCTTATTTCCAGTTACCTCTACCATGTTTCCAACTACTACTAGCTAATGATAATCAAATTATTAGAAATAATCAGTTTAACATTAATTTAGTGAAAAAAGGTCTTTCATACATGACTCCCTCACGACTCGATCCCCTATCGTCCAGTCTATATGCGCCGTCTTATACCATTACACCACCGAGTTTCTGATGCGATTCCTCGGAAGATAACATACTCATAAATCTTATGGATTAGGCTCATTAGGATTGCCATGAATAGCAGACAAAGACAATTTGAATAGCTTTTGTTTCAGAAAACTGAAAACCTTAGTGGAGATGCAATATATCAATATATTTCTGTGAGTATGAGAAGTCGTTCAAAGTCCTCCAATTCGGACTTGACGTGATTTCAAGTCCTTGCAATTAGTTCCAGTCCTCGGCTAACGCCTCGGACTGGAACTAATAGCCGATTTGCGAATTTCGCCTCAGTAGTGGCACACAAAAGAATTAAAACGAGGCGCCGTGCATAAAACTATTGTCTTTTCACGAATGACTGATATTTATGCACGGCGCCTCGTCTTGATTCTTTTGTGTGCGACTACTGAGGCAAAACTCGCAAGTCGGCT